GCAAGTGCAGTCAGAAGTCGCAAATTTGATGAAAACACTTCTTCATCCACATATCGCCTCTGAAATCCGGTATTCTGGATTTGTCTCCATATACACTGAGAAAAATGAAAAAAGCATCCACGAATTTGAGTATTAGAGAATTCACTTCGTACAGCATTCATCGCTGCTTTTTCGAAATCCATTAAAAAAGATGTAGAGCAAAGTTCAGGTTTCAAATTTTTTAATGCTGCATATAAACGTCTATAGCTTTCTTCTATTTTATTCGGCAGAATTGCATATACTGTTGGAATGGTATTTGAATAATTGACGCCATGGATTGTATATATTTGGGAAAACATATTAGGGGCTGTTGAAAAAGTTCCATCTCCGTACCAGTGTTCACACTCCAACATGTAGTCAAGATTTCTTGCTGTTGTAAACACTAATATTCGATCTTCTGATGTGCCGCTGTCGTACATTAAAACTAACTGACCACTGCTTGTCAGTGTATATTCCTGTGGAATAACTAATTGAAGCAGAGAATTTGGAATCGCAGGAATTCCTTCTGTCTTTTCCTTTTTTCGTTGAATAGTTCTTTTCATTGCACTCACTTGTGGTAATCTGGCTGCAGCCGATGATGATAAACCCTCGGAAACCTTTGCAATGATTTGTTGAGTAGTGGAACCACTTTGTTCAGCTAAAACTTTCATTTTTATAACAACTCTTCTTACTTCGGCATCAGCACTATCTGACACATGATTATGTTCGGTACTCTTCACAATTTCATCGCCTATGGTATGAATGCGACCGGTACATCTCCATTTATGATATAGAGAACATTTCCAAATACCTTTTTCTCCAGAATTTTTTTCTCTAGAATGTGTATGGCCATTGTATAAAAGCATTTTGTGACCTCTTTCGCTGTCAACAAATTGTAACGGCATTTTCAAATTTTACAATGATGTAAACTCGTACAAAGACAAAATAAGAATGATTACAATTCGTTGGTATTTCTTATTTAAACCTTATATACATATATTATAAACAGGGCATCTAAAATACTAACTTACACAAACAAGCTATTGAAGATAATCCTTTTTAGAATTAAATATTGATTGCACTATGAATTTCTCCTTGAAAGGATTAATAAAGGATAATTATAATTCTCTATTATTATTAACTAATGTGGTAACTTACCCGAATTGGCTAATGAAGATAATCCTTTTTAAATAGTAGGTAAAGGACTGTTGAGAACCTGCGACTGCCGCTTATACACTTTAAATTGGCTTATCAATAATACATTATTGATATTTATTATATTTTTCTTAGTAAAAACTACTTGATTAGCAGAAAAAAAGTAAATCATATTTTTGTGTAATTTAGAGTAAGATATTTTGTAATTTTTTTGAAAAAATAATTTTATTTGGTACTTATAAGAAAAATTCAATATAGCACAAAAAAAATTGTTTGTTTTTCAGACATACTGTATAAATTATAGATACAATACGATATTTTTGTGGCGATGAATTGTCGTAGCGATAAAATGTCGTAGCGATGAAAAGTCGTGGCGATGAATTGTCGGCTCTGAAAGGTCGCGCGATGAATTGTCGGCTCTGAAAGGTCGCGCGATAAATTGTCGCGCGACGAATTGACTGGATACCGACTAAGAGAGTACGATACGATAGTTACACCAGAAAGCATCATTAACGAGGCGTTTTAGCCACTAATTTCGGCGAATTTTAAAAAATCACTAACAAGAGATTAAGAGCTTAAATTTGGGGATATATTAAGAATAGTGCTGTTGACGAATGCATTTATTTTCATTATGATATTTCAAAATTTTAAAACTTTAAAATATATGCATATTCTAGATATTATTGCCTGATTTATTTTGCCAAAATTTTAATTTCGTAAAAAAAAATACTTTTTGAGAAATGCTTGTCCGAAAATTATAAGGGGTGCTGTAATCACCTTAACCGAACACGGTATTTCTTTTGAAACAACTTTGGTCAAAACACAGTTATTAAATTTGATACAAATGTAAGTTAATGTACAAAATTTTGATTGTATTATGTTAATACTAAACTAATCCATAAATTTAATTTATCAAAGTAATAAAGTTCAAAAAGAAATTGGAAAAATCTACCATTCCTACACATTTTATGACTGTTATTAAATCATTTAATGACGTAATTGCAGATGATAAGGTGTGCTCAAAAATAAGAGGAAATGTTAAAATTATTCATTTGTACAAATAAACTACCAAAAGTATATGAAGCTGATATGTTAGCAGAAAAATATGGACATTAGGTACCTACTTCAACTACTTCTTTACCATTGATATTAAACATATTTGGGATATCACTAAATTTTTTTATGGCAATAATGTGGGAAAGAATGGTACTACAGCAGAAAAAGCACTAACTAAATGTCAATTTTGTAATAGGGGAAGTTCTAAAAAAATTTGGGAAAAATATAATATGTTTTAACCTAGTTTAACTTTTTCAATTTCAAAATCGTCTGGGTTCGTGTCTGAGTCGGGGAAGGGGGTGGGGGTTTAACCCCTAAATCCCCAACGCTGCGCCACTTTCTGATATTTGGTTTAAAACACTGAACAAATAATACTAGATTGTTGGCATAGGAAAGTGGTATGTGATAGGTGCCACCCCTTAATATAAATTTGGATGAGGATGACGATAGTGAGGATCCTCTAGAAGATTAGTGAGCATTTGAAGATTACAGTCACGCTATCACTGACTATATAACCCAAGTAATTAACTTTATTTTGGAATAGCTGACATTTCTTGGGGTTTAACAGCTTGGAGTCTTTCAAAAATATTAGTACACTATAGTTTTATTAATTTGGTATGTTTACTTGACATAATTGACAGTCAGTATATTTTTAATTTGCATTGTGATGTTTTGATTATTGAGATTAACTTTCTTCCTGGGAAGATTTAAAAAAGATCCGCTAGGGGCAGCACTGATAGGGGGGTACATATGTTTTGAATTCTGTATTGACAACAACCAAGTTGGGACCTTTTCTTGAGTTTGACTTTATTGTAACCACGTTAATAATGGAAGGATTGTAGTTGTTATTAAAAGCTTATTGTTTTAAAACGTTAATTTCTTTATCAAAATTATGATTAGATAAAGGTATATTGAGAAGACGTTGAACATAACAATATATGGCTGCTAACTTGTGTTGATAAGAGTGATTAGAGTGTTCATCGTCTTCTCAATATATCTTTATATAATCATAATTTTAATAAAGAAACGTTTTAAAACAATTAGCTTTTAATAACGACTACAATCCTTCCATTATTAACGTGGTTATCAATAAAGTCAAACTCAAGAAAAGGTCCCAACTTGATTTTAATCCTACTAACGAACCTCCTGCTAACGAACCTCCTGCTAATTTTAAATACTTTTCACTACCATATCTCGGGAAAATCTCCAATCATGTCGCGGCAGTTTTTAAGGATTGCAGCAATATTAAAATTTCTTTGAAACATGTTAATTCAATTAAAAGTCAACTATCACATACAAAGGATGAAATCGAGTTGCTACACAAAAGTGGTATCTACAGATTAAGCTGTAACGATACGTCTTATATAGTAAAAACTGAGAGGAAACTCAACATTACTCCTTCTGAGAATGTTACTGTTCTTCATAATATTTTTAATTGCAACTTTAAACTAAATCTGCTCGAAGACCTTGAGATACACAGAGAGTTTAATAAACCAAATGTCACATGTGTTAACACTTAAATCCATCTCAATAGCAAAGTGCATCCTCTCTTTAAGAGTATTGGCAACGGTTGGTCTGAAGTTACCTAGTCAACTTCGCCTTGAATCTTTTTGCAACGAAATTGATCTTGTCTCTTCCTGCGATTGCTGATTTCCTGGCCAGGACGGTTTTCCCTCCACTTTTAGCTGGAAAGGCTGATCTGCCTGCGACTTCGGTTTCGCTGGGACTGGCCGGCTTAATTATGTTGTTTTCAGCTAGGCACCTGTTTAATTTTTATTAATTTTTTAAAAAATATGTGTAATTTACTGTATATTTTATAATTCTATTTAATTCATTCTAATCTTTTTCTGTTTTAAATTTAAAAGTCCCGCCATAACTTGATCTTGCTTGAACTGTTAAATCTGCCCTTCGTGATGAATGTGTCCACTCCAAACACTTTTTTTTTGTCAACTTGTGGTTTTATAAAAGGCACACATTTTACACCATCTTGCTTGTAACGACTGTCAGACGTATAATTAGCAAACGCACAATGTTTTGTAGGCATGACAATTGTTTTTTAATTTTTATTTATTCTAATAATAATAAAACGTACGTTTGACGTTATGAATAGAGAATTCGAAACAGTGTACCCCCCATCAGTGCTGCCCCTAGCGGATCTTTTTTAAATCTTCCCAGGATAAAGGCTAATTTGCCAATAAATTGTTTTACGAACAAGCTGAAAAACCATCGCTTTCCCAGAGACTTATTAAGATTGTTAATTAAGCTTTATAAGTTTTTTTTTTAAATTGTTCCAGTAGAAACTTTTGTCAAGCCGTTAAAAGTAGTAAGACAAGTAATAGCCCCACCGTAATTTTATTTATTCATGCTCCATTTTCACCGCTGTGTAATACATTTTGCTTTAATAAGTTTATTATTATTGTTTTAGATAAAACTCTTCAAAATCTTTGAAGCGACAATACTGTATTTTGGAAACTAATATAATCGAGACACACTGTATTTAATTATTGCATTATGTACGTTTTTGATTTATTAAATTGTTTTTTTGATTATGCTTTTGAATTTTTTATGTTTTAATAAAATCTTTGAAACTTTTCTTAAAAACTTTATATGATGATGAAAAAATGTCCTCCAACATAACTAGTGGGATTGATAAGCATGTGGCAAATTTTATCCACCCTCAAATTCGCCTTGATAGTAAAACACTGAAAGAACGACAATTTTTTCAAACTTATTTGTTATTCCAAGTAGCCAAATTTTTATAAATTAGTACTATACATTTTGATTTTGTTATAGAAAACATTATTTGTTTTATTAATATCTAGTTATTTAAATTCCCACGATAAAATAAACAAATTATACGTTCCGGTATTTATTTACTGTAATAAAAATTTTTAAAATAAAATAAATGACATTTTATTTCAAATAAAAATTAGCAAATATTGATTGTTTTATGGTTTGAAACTAGTCAAAATAAACCATTTTTTGTTCGTTTTTCTTTGTTATATTTTTGCCTAACTAGCAGGAAGTTACATTTAGAAAAGCTTCACTGAAATTGTGAAACCCGGAATTATATTTTTGATATTTTTTTAATTGTTCAAAAAATTGATTTATTTCACATTTGTTCGTCAATATTTTCCATAGAAATTGCACTCGTTGAAATGCCTTTGTTAACTGCTTTTTTTCTCGCCCAAATATCGACTGCAAATTTGAGTTCCTGAATGAGGGCTTCTGTTGGAGTAAGCTGCAAACAAACACAAAAATATTCAATATTCTATCTGTAGTTAGTGCACAAAGTGTATATGGGTATTAGAAAAAATGATAATTGTAGATCTTGATCCGTTGGCCTCATTTTATTTGAATGTTTATGTTCAGTACTTATCTATGGGTTTTTACTGTTTTCTTACCTTTTGAACTACAGCAACTTTCCTGACGTTCCATAGAAACTCGCAGATGGCTATGAGTAAGGCTAGGAGAACTCCCACAGCGAGAACCACGAAGACACCCCCCACGTTGTCCAGACCCATTTCCGTGGCTGCTGCATCGTCGGACAGTTTGTCTTTCTGTGGACAAAAGGCCGTGTCAAACTTGTTTATGAAAATATTAATTTATTATCGAACGCCGCCGCTGCCGCTACCGCTATTGCCGCCGCGCTGGCACTATCGAACAGAACAATGATAAACACGGTGGACAGGCGTTTTTAAATATTGTATTCGAGAGGATGCATCGGGAAGTTGATTTTTGAGAAATAGGCCAGATAATGAAAATTTGAAGATTTGAAAATTTCACATCCATTACAAAAGTTTTCAAACTTTGAAAGAATAGTCGGCTAGTTTAAATAAAATTAAATTTAAATTTGCAATCATTTTTAAAGTCCAGAACTAGTAAAGGACCACGCACTTTTCTTATGCAAACGGTAGTAGTTAGTACCGTGAAAATGTCTGAATTTTTAATATATTAAATTACTTGATGTTCCCATCAAAAGTTTCCATGAGCCCATTTGTATCCTATGACTAGATTTTGAGATACAGGGTGTTGAAGTTAGAAATCCCTAATTCTTTAAAATGGACACCATAAATCGCCCTTAAATATTTTTGGAAGTTATTTTCTCATTATGTGTAGTCAAAATACATACTTAACTACTATAATTAAAATATTGTCACTTACAGGGTGATTAATGATTCGGCAGATCTTTTTTGGTCAAAGTATTATTTCCACCGAACAAAAATATCTGAAACAACGATAAAAAAAAAATAAATATATCACTGTCAAAGTCTCTCAATATTTGATATCGTATAGTACTTGATGTACTCGTTCAAAATTCTTATTGGTAAAATTGGATCCTATGACTAGTTTTCCAAATACAACTATAACTATAACAAGTAGATACCAAATAAATGAATTTTAAACAATAAATATATATTGATATAAGTAGATATTTTCAAGAGACATATATTATATTAAATATTTTGGCACACTGTAGTTAGATTAGGAATATACCTCTTGTACTATTTCGTAATAGACAAAAATTTCGTACTTGAATATGTAAGATAAAAAAATCAACAAAATGTTGAAATTGTTGCCAAAGAATAGAAAATAGTTACCTTGTGAGATGTTCATCAAAAAAATATAAGTCCACATGCAGTGTCATACTTTATTCCGGTACAAAAAAGTTGATTATACGGTAGGTCTAAGTAGGATGTGCAGAAATGAATTATGATTGGATTACAGGTTTATTTGGCTAGAGTATTTGGAAGACATAAATACTTTTAGTTTAGAAGAATTTAAATATTTAAGTTCAATTTCTAAAGAGAATTTTCACGTATTTTGTGAACCAATAGAACAATATGGTAACTTAAGAAACATTGCTCAAAAATATTTACTTGTTTTCCTTGTCAGAAAAGTTCATGAAATTACTTTTTAATTATTCATCCCGACAAGTCACTAGTGTAGTCATATTTAATGTCCGTATATCCCTGCTTCAAAGATTTGTACCTAGTAATATTGGATTTAAATCAATGACCAGAGAAAATTATATCATAAATCATGTACTTGAATTCGTAAACACGCTTTACAACCCTATAGCATATACTCCAAAGGCCATATTTTATGTCGATTTTACATATAACTCAATTGAAAAAAGTAGTAATTTTAAAATATTACGTCAGTCCTATTGCTATTTTAAGAAGGGACATTTAGTTAAGACAGAAATTACAGTAGCTCCTGACGAATATATTTTATCAATCAATCTTATTTCCAGAAAATATCGATCTCAATCCTAAGTAGAAGAAAATTAATTTGTACTACCATCTCGTATTTGCACCTAATACTTAACGTTAACGTCTTGGTTCAGTTACGTCAGTCATTTGGTCGTTTATCTTTAGTTCAGGCTGTTCCTTTAACTTAATATTTGACTTTTGTCTTCTCAAATACCTAACCTTATATACCTTACAAAGTATCTAAATTCATATCCTTAGTGTTTGTAATAAATTCAGTTGTCTTCTGTAATTGCTATTATTGTTCTATTTTTCCAAGTTATGAAAACATTAATAACAATGTCAAAAAAGAGAAAAGAGAATCGGATGTTGTAAAAACTCTACGTACATACGTGCCAAACTTGATACCAAAAAAGACTTGTCAAACACGTAATGATATTTTTATATAAATTAGTAAGATATATTGAGATAAATGGGTAAATGGGTGGGTGGAACTCGAGGTGCTGCCACCTCCTCGTAGTTAGTTCTGGGTTGATTTACCATACAAAACCGGTTTAATTATCTTGTAGCTGCCATAAACCCCTTAAGTTTTAAATCAAGCGAAGAGCTGCACAAAGCTGAATTTTTTAAAAAATTTTAATTTCTCACCCCTTAAGGGCCCAGCTAAATATTTTATTTTTTCACTAATTTTCATATATGGTATAAACAACATAAAACACAAGTTTTTCACACTAGCCAGAATTAATTTTTTTTGGTAATAACACTTAAAACAAAATGTATTAGAGCTTTACCTCTTTGGTGACGCGGAAAGGAGATCCCAATCTGATATAAATATACAATATAAAGAGGTAATGCTCCAGTCAAAATAAACATGTAATCTGATAATTATTAATTTCTCTAGATTCTACTTAGACCTATCGTATAATGAACTTTTTTTGTAATGAAATAATGTATGACCCTGTATGTGAACTAATAAGATTTTTTTGACAAACAACTCGCAAGCAATTATTTTCTATTTTTTGTCAACAATTTCAACATTTTGTTGATTTTTTCACCTTACATATTCTATCGTAATCACCCTGTAAGTACAAAATATTTTTGGCTGCCCTCAAATAGTACAAGGGGTATATTTCTAATCCAACATAATGTGTCAAAATATTTAATATACAGTATTTCTCTGGAACATATCTAATGTCAGTATATTTATTATTTAAAATTCATATATTTGGTACATATTAAATTATATATTTGGAAAGCTAGTCATAGGATCTAATTTTGGCAATAAGAATTTCGAACAAATACATCAAGAACTATACAATGAAAAATATTGAGAGACTTTGACGGTGATATATTTTTGTTTTTCGGTATTTCAGCTATTTTTGTTTGGTGAAAACACCTACTTTGACAAAAAGAATCTGCAGAATTATTAATCACCCTGTAAGTGAAAATATTTGAATTATAGTAGTTAAGTATGTGTTTTGACTACACAAAATGAGAAAATAACTTCCAAAAATATTTAAGGGTGATTTATGGTGTCCATTTTAAAGAATTAGGGATTTCTGACTTCAACACCCTGTATCTCAAAATCTAGTTGTAGGATGCGATTGGACACATGGACACTTTTGATGGGGACATCAAGTAATATAACACATCAAAAATTCACACATTTTGACGGTACTCCCGTTTGCGTAAGAAAAGTGCGTGGTCCTTTATAGCAAAATGACGCTTTTGTTCATATAGTTTAGAGGAAAAAATGCAAAAGTGCTACAAACTTGAAGTAATATCTATTTAGATATTTTTAACATTATATCAGATTTGCAACTTTTTTGAAAGTCCGCAACATGATTATTTTTTTACAAAATAGCGTTTTTGTTTATATCATAAATGAAAAAATTGCAAAAGTGCTGAAAACCAATGTCATAACTCATACAAGTTTTTGGAACAGCTATTCTAATTTGCAACCTTCTATTTTGCATGCAAGTATTTTTTGGTTAAAAAATGTCTAAACAATGTTTTATTTACCTGCAAGCTAATTATAAGTTAAAAAAAAAAGTTTTTCTCGTTAGTGTAGAGATAACATAGTGAATTTTCATGTGAGAGGCGAGGGATTCAAATCTAGGATGAAGATAATTAAAATATTTTTAAAATAATTATTTTATGTTACCTCAAAATTAATTTTAAAATTTTCTACGTTTGTGGATTGTAGAAAAAATATATTGCCCAATCTGAGTACCTATGGTGTCGTGCTCGAACTTGGCCTCATATAAGCTCTTGTTACACAAATTACTAATTTGTTTTGTTTTAAATTAGTAACAATTTTGTCAAATTAATATATTTTGTGTTACTAGGATAAAATATAATTTAAAATGAGTTATCCATATGAAGAATCGTGGGCAAATTTCCAGGGGGTAAGTCTTATAGGCTGGTTCAAAACGTCGCAGTCTTATAGTCGAAAGCCAAAATCACAAATTTAGGGAGAACAGACGTCCCCCTTTTCTCTCATGTGGCAGCGCCCATATAAAGACTCGATATATAATGAGAAACCACCAAATATTCTTCGTTAATAGTTAAATAAACCTAAAATGTTGATCAAATTATAATAAAATGGCCAAAAATCAATTCAAGTATAAATGTTAAAGAGAAATAAGATGTTATTAGTTTGAAAGGTGAGGTTCAAATTCAGATTGAACCCAAATTCTTTTTTATTTTCAAGGTTGTTTTATTTTATAAATTGGTAAAATCCAAAAATTCAAATCTTTGTGTTAATTAGTTTTAAAATAGTTATTTTATGTTAATAAACTCTAAATTAATTTTTAAAACGTTGTAAATTTTCTTTAGTGATTCGTAGAAATATATAATTCGAGTGGTTTGCTTTTATCGCACTCAGATAATAGAGGAGTTAAGCACTCGGCCCATGCGGCGTGGTGCTTAAACTTCGTTTCTGATCAATTTGGCCATAATGCCTATCCACTCTTGTTGTACAAGCTACTATTTGGCTTCTGTATCTGTAACGTTTGGAGGGTGTGGTAACCTCCGGAACTTAGGCCTCACTAGGTCCATTGTGCATCCTCCTAAGTAGACAGGCACCTCTTAGCTCGTGAGCCAATCTACATATTTAATGTAGTTGACAACGTCGCCAAGAGGTGCTTCTCTTATATCGGCCGGTGTTGGCCGATACTCGCCGAAGACAAATCTAATAAATGAGAGCGTCTGGCAATCGTAGAGGATATGCTCGATGGTCTCATTTTCTTGTTTGCACCCCTTGCAGAGTGCGGATTATGACAGCCCCATGATATAAAGATGCTTCCGTAGTTGGCTATGTTCAGTCAAAATGCATGTGATCAGGT